AGTCTTTTGATGAGCATAAGTATTTGATTATTAGGAGCTCCCAGTTATCTAGTTTCTCTTCTGGTGTTTGTTCATTGTTACTTAAGCTTTGCATTCTGTTTATGCGTTGTATTAGGGCTCCTAGTGTTGTCCCTATTTTTTCTTCCATGATCTTTATCGGTTTTGATTTTATATTTAGGTCTTTCATTCATTTTGAGTTAGTTTTTGTGCATGGTGTGAGGTATGGGTCTTGTTACAGTTTTTTGCAGATGGATATCCAGTTATGCTAGCACCATTTCTTAAACAGACTGTCTTTTTCCCAATTAACGGACTTTGGGCCTTTATCAAATATCAGCTGCTCATAGGTGGATGAATTTATGTCTGGATTCTCAATTCTGTTCCCTTGGTCTACGTATCTGTTGTTGTACCAGTACCAGACTGTTTTGACTACCGCGGCAGTATAATAAAATCATATAGTTCTAAAATCAGGCAGTGTGAGGCCTCCTACATTTTTCTTCTTGAGTAATGCTTTACTTGTCTGAGACCTCTTCCCTTTCCATATGAAGTTGGTGATATGTTTCTCCAGCTCATTAAAAAATCCCATTGGAATTTGGATCAGGATTGCATTGTACCTGTAGATCACTTTGGGTCAATTTGACATTTTCACAAAGTTGAGTCTTCCTATCCATGAGCAAGGTGTGTTTTTCCGCTTATGCGGTTCTCTTTTGCTTTCTTGCAGTAGTGCCTTGTAGCTTTCCTTGTATAGGTCTTCTACGTCTCTAGTTAGATTTATTCCTAAGTATTTTATCTTCTTGGGGTATTGTAGATGGTATTGATTTGGTGATTTCCTCTTGGAAGTTCTCTTTGTTGGTGTAGAGAAATCCAACTGATTTTTGTATATTTATCTTGTATCCTGATACTTTGCTGAAATCTTCTATTAGTTCTAGTAGTTTTCTTGTGGATTTTTGGGGGTTTTCTGTGTATAAGATCATATCATCTACAAATAGACATACTTTTACTTCTTCCTTACTAATTTGGATGCCCTTTATTCCTTATTCTAGCCTAATTTCACTGGCTAGGACCTTCAGCACAATGTCGAATAAGAGTGGTGATGAAGGGCATCCTTGTTTGTTTCTCATTCGCAAGGGCAATGCTTTCATACTCTCTCCATTTAGGATGATGTTGGCTGTTGGCTTTGTATAAATGCCCTTAATTATACTGAGGAATTTCCCTTCTATTCCTATTTTGTTGAGAGTTTTTCT